ACTGGTAGCAAAGCAGAGACAACTTCCCACCGTGCTTCCCCGGGAAGCCAGTGGAGGCTGAGGCAGAGCACTGATGGTGGATGGGGACAGGGACACAGCTGCTCCCACCCACCTGCTCTCGTGCCATTCTCCAAATATCCCCCTGTGCCACTTCTTCCTTCCAGTTTGTCCCACCCGGTCATTTTTAAGATTTCCATCTCTTCTAAATCTGGTTCCTTTTGCTTTGGTTTTCCTCATCACCAGGTTCAGAATGGCTGCTCCATCCCTGGACACCCAGAGTAAGTGCTAGGGCCCTGTCTCTTCTTGAATAAAGTCCAGTTTCTGTGACATGAGCTGTGGCGAGCAGAAGAGGTCAACTGCCCTCACTTGCTTAACAAGGGAGTAAAAGTATGAGGGCTGACAGTGAGAACGATTTTGGTTGGGTTTAGATGAAATCTGATCTATGAACTGCAGACCTAGCTTACAGATGTCCAAACTAAACACAGAGCAGAGGTAATCAACTTTGTTCTCGTTGCTTCAAAAGCCTAGTCTGTAGGTTGTTTGGGTGGTGGGTGGTTGTTGGTTTTTTCCTTTTTTTGAACCTCTAGGTAGCGTCAGGACAGTACCACATTTTATATAGCAGGAACTAAAGATGGAGACATCAGTATTTGGTGGATTCATTTATCAAGCACCAATTAACACGCTCCGGTCGTTGTCCCCCTGTACTTGGCACTGGTGAGGCCTCACCTTGAGTACTGTGTCCAGTTTTGGGCTCCCTACCATAAAAAAGACATTGAGACAGGACAAGAGGAAATGGCCTCAAGTTGCGCCAGGGGAGGTTCAGGCTGGATATTAGGAAAAATTTTTTCACTGAAAGGGTTATCAGCCATTGGAATGGGCTGCCCAGGGAGGTGGTTGAGGCACCATCCCTGGAGGTGTTCAAAAGACGGGTTGATGTAGTGCTGGGAGGTATGGTTTAGTGATGATGCTCCTTGTTTGTTGTGTGGGTGTCTATTTTTGTCAGTGAGGTTGACGGTTGGACAAGATGATCTTTAAGGTCCCTTCCAACCTAGAAGATTCTGTGATTCTGTGATTCAAAAGTTAAGAGCTTTGTTGTCAAGTTGCAACACATTCATGGCTACCTTTGATTTACAGCACATGATTCTGCACATGAACGGTTTCTGACACAATAAATACCTTCATTCACTGGAAAACAAAGGAAAGCATCTATTTAAAAGTGTGTCTCCGTCCTGTGGAATTTAGGAAGAACTCCTGGAAAGACTGAACAAGGCATGCTGTGGGATTTTTCACCTACTCCAAGTTAGGCAAGTACTAATGTGAGCTACAGCTTCAACGTGTATCCCAGTAAGTGTGATGCACACTTTCTGAGATCCTGAGCCTTATCCAATACAAGCTCTAAACGGCTTACAGGAAAATCTTACAGACACGCATAGCCCATATCCTCTCTATGTTCTTAAAGGCAATAAATCTTCAGAATATGCTTCAAGGGGATTATTAAATAACCTGTAGCAAATTTCAGTGTTCTTTGCTGATCTGAATGCCGTCCTCTAACCTAAAAATCCTTCAGAGTATTTGCTATATTCTGGAGCTTATACTGGCTGTCTTTTAAAATATTTTTGAAAAACTAGAGCAACATACTGTAGTGCAACTTCCCCTACATTGTCTTTCTTTTCTTCCCCATTAACTAATGGAATTAAATGTTCCTTATTTCTGGTCGAATTCCTTTTTACTACCTTGCTAGTTATAACTTATTTTGAAGCTTCAGCCCTTCTGACTTTATGCACACTGAAGGGGGCCTGCCTCATTTCCCCTTCAAAATTAGCACCTTATTAGGACCATGTCTTCAGGAAAATAACCAGATGGCGGGATAACAAAAGGCATTTCTTTACTTTCAGTCTCAAACTTCGTATTGCTCAGAGAGAGTGCAAGATTCATTTATTGCCTTTACAGCTATAGAAGTCTTGGGGTTACCATTACACTGGTAGCAAAGCAGAGACAACTTCCCACCGTGCTTCCCCGGGAAGCCAGTGGAGGCTGAGGCAGAGCACTGATGGTGGATGGGGATGGGGACACAGCTGCTCCCACCCACCTGCTCTCGTGCCATTCTCCAAATATCCCCCTGCGCCACTTCTTCCTTCCAGTTTGTCCCACCCAGTCATTCTTAAGATTTCCATCTCTTCTAAATCTGGTTGCTCTTGCTTTGGTTTTCCTCATCACCAGTTTCAGAATGGCTGCTCCATCCCTGGACACCCAGAGTAAGTGCTAGGGCCCTGTCTCTTCTTGAATAAAGTCCAGTTTCTGTGACATGAGCTGTGGCGAGCAGAAGAGGTCAACTGCCCTCACTTGCTTAACAAGGGAGTAAAAGTATGAGGGCTGACAGTGAGAACGATTTTGGTTGGGTTTAGATGAAATCTGATCTATGAACTGCAGACCTAGCTTACAGATGTCCAAACTAAACACAGAGCAGAGGTAATCAACTTTGTTCTCGTTGCTTCAAAAGCCTAGTCTGTAGGTTGTTTGGGTGGTGGGTGGTTGTTGGTTTTTTCCTTTTTTTTAACCTCTAGGTAGAGTCAGGACAGTCCCACATTTTATATAGCAGGAACTAAAGATGGAGACATCAGTATTTGGTGGATTCATTTATCAAGCACCAATTAACACGCTCCGGTCGTTGTCCCCCTGTACTTGGCACTGGTGAGGCCTCACCTTGAGTACTGTGTCCAGTTTTGGGCTCCCTACCATAAAAAAGACATTGAGGTGCTGGAGCGTGTCCAGAGAAGGGCAACAAAGATGGTGAGGGGTCTGGAGCACAAGTCTTATGAGGAGAGGCTGAGGGAACTGGGGTTATTCAGCCTGGAGAAGAGGAGGCTGAGGGGAGACCTTATTGCTCTCTACAACTCCCTGAAAGGAGGATGTAGCCGGGGGGGGTCGGTCTCTTTTCTCAAGTCACAGGTGACAGGACAAGAGGAAATGGCCTCAAGTTGCGCCAGGGGAGGTTCAGGCTGGATATTAGGAAAAATTTTTTCACTGAAAGGGTTATCAGCCATTGGAATGGGCTGCCCAGGGAGGTGGTTGAGGCACCATCCCTGGAGGTGTTCAAAAGACGGGTTGATGTAGTGCTGGGAGGTATGGTTTAGTGATGATGCTCCTTGTTTGTTGTGTGGGTGTCTATTTTTGTCAGTGAGGTTGACGGTTGGACAAGATGATCTTTAAGGTCCCTTCCAACCTAGAAGATTCTGTGATTCTGTGATTCAAAAGTTAAGAGCTTTGTTGTCAAGTTGCAACACATTCATGGCTACCTTTGATTTACAGCACATGATTCTGCACATGAACGGTTTCTGACACAATAAATACCTTCATTCACTGGAAAACAAAGGAAAGCATCTATTTAAAAGTGTGTCTCCGTCCTGTGGAATTTAGGAAGAACTCCTGGAAAGACTGAACAAGGCATGCTGTGGGATTTTTCACCTACTCCAAGTTAGGCAAGTACTAATGTGAGCTACAGCTTCAACGTGTATCCCAGTAAGTGTGATGCACACTTTCTGAGATCCTGAGCCTTATCCAATACAAGCTCTAAACGGCTTACAGGAAAATCTTACAGACACGCATAGCCCATATCCTCTCTATGTTCTTAAAGGCAATCAATCTTCAGAATATGCTTCAAGGGGATTATTAAATAACCTGTAGCAAATTTCAGTGTTCTTTGCTGATCTGAATGCCGTCCTCTAACCTAAAAATCCTTCAGAGTATTTGCTATATTCTGGAGCTTATACTGGCTGTCTTTTAAAATATTTTTGAAAAACTAGAGCAACATACTGTAGTGCAACTTCCCCTACATTGTCTTTCTTTTCTTCCCCATTAACTAATGGAATTAAATGTTCCTTATTTCTGGTCGAATTCCTTTTTACTACCTTGCTAGTTATAACTTATTTTGAAGCTTCAGCCCTTCTGACTTTATGCACACTGAAGGGGGCCTGTAGAAGGGCTGGGGAGGGACTCTTTGCCAGGAGGTGTAATGATAGGACAAGGGGAAACGGTTTTAAATTGGAAGAAAAATGATTCAGATTAGATATCAGAAAGAAATTTTTTACTATGAGGGTGGTGAGGCACTGGAACAGGTTGCCCAGGGAAGCTGTGGCTGCCCCATCCCTGGAGGGGTTCAAGGCCAGGCTGGATGTGGCCTTGAGCAACCTGGTCTGGTGGGAGGTGTCCCTGCCCAGGGCAGGGGGGTTGGAACTCGATGATCTTTGAGGTCCCTTCCAACCCCAACCATTCTATGATTCTATGAATCCCCGATACAGAGGCACAACCTGCATGGTCAGCCATCCTCTAGCATGGACCAAGCTCAGTGGTGGCTGTGGTCTCGCTCGCGTGCTTCTGCCCCGGTGCTGCTCCAGGGATCCCCCGGCTGGCAAAGTAACAAAAATAAATTTACTCCTTCCATTCCCTCATTTCCCCTTCAAAATTAGCACCTTATAGGACCATGTCTTCAGGAGAATAACCAGACCGGATGGATAACCAAAGACATTTCTTTACTTTCAGTCTGAAACTCTGTATTGCTCAGAGAGAGTGTAACGCCGTGGTTTTGTGGTTGTTCCTGCATCCTGCTTGCCTGCTGCTTTTTCTCCGCCTTTGAGTTTTTAATACATTTTTTCAGTCACGGTCAATGCTTTGCCCAGTTTTACCCAACAGATGAGTAGTTCTCCATTCTTTCCTGTTTGCAGTTCCCCTGGCACAACTGTAAATTTCTGAATATTAAAATAAATACTTTTTTTTTTTTCTTCAAGGTTTTAACTTTATTCACCTTCTTGTGGAAAGAGTTCCCCCATTAAGACTAGGTTCCCTAGAAGACACTCTGTCCTGGTCTTTGTCTGCTGAAGGCTGCTCTTTGAAAGCCACTATCATTATTTTGCTTTCCTCTTCCTTCCTGACCTTAGAATAACTGACACCATCACTTTGCGATTATTTTTATCCAGATGACTCAAAAAAAAAATTTTTAAAAATGTATTTCAACACAGAAACCATAATTTTATTTGAAATTTGAGCTGCAAGAATTTTTAACTCAGTGCTGCACTATGTATGTTTTCTTATTAGAAAACTGCTCTGGTTGAAAGTCCTACAATTGCAGCAGCTTGAAAGCTACTTAACAGAATGTCACAAATAGCACTTTTGTTCTTCTTACATACCTTGTGCTAGCAAACCTCCCCACGTGTGGCAAACCTATTAGTCTGAAAGAGGAAGTGGTAAGTCTGTACCAAATTAATCTTTCAGTATCTATGGCAGTCGTCTTTTTTTGCTATTGGCAGCCTCCATTTTGAAGGGAGTGAGTTTTTCAGTTCAGTTCAGTTTCTCAGTAGGCTGGCTTAGAGTTTTGCCATCATCTGCCTCCAATTCATTTATCTCTTCCTGTAATTCATCCTCCAGGTCATAGTCCGAGACCGATTCAGTATTATCATTCCAGTAATCACCTTCATATCTCTCCAGTAAGTATTTCTGTGGTGCAATGTCGTCATCATCAGGAAGATTCCTTAGTTTTTTCTTCTTCATTTTCTTTTTAATCTGAGAAAGCTGCTGCTCCTGCTCTTCCGTCCAGGCAATGCCTTCTAGATCTCTTGAAACTTTCAGTCTTTTATAGTCCATTATCTGCTTATTCAACAGTTCATGATCAATACCAAAAAGGTTAGACCGCATGGGTGAATCCGAAGACTGAGTTGCTGAAGAAGAGAGTTTACTGTGGAAAGGAAAACAAATGTTGTAGGTTTTTTCCCCTGTGTATATTTTAAGGGGCAATGCTAATCGTGACAACTTGAGCATCACAGAAATAAACTGGGGCTTTCAGTTTGACTTCGTTAATGCTCTGTGTTCAGCATTGTGCTCCCTTTGTTAAGAAGGAAGAGATACCACTGTACCATGTCTCCGAGGACAGGCTGTGTATAAGCCTGTCAGCCTGTCAACAGATTGAATGGGAGGAAGCCAATAAAGCAGCTACATTCCAGATAAAACTGCTTGTTTCTGGCAAAAAGGCAAAGAGTGAGCACTGGAGCTGGGAGCCCCAAGGAAGTTAGACTTCTCCCAGTTTTTCCAAGAAGTGAGAAGCAGCAGCCTGTGCCCAAAACATGTCAGACAAACATATGAATGACAGTACATGGCACCTTAAGCTGGACTTGTGCATCTCCACAAGACACAAACAGAGGAAGATGTCAGGTTAGTCTGTCACAATGATTTCCTCCAAGAAGCTGTTTCTTATTTGCACCTGATGAACCATCCTGTGAGGCATTAAGGCACAAAAGGCATTTCCACCAACAGACTGCAGCACACAAGTGCAAAGCCGTTGGTTTTGAGAGCAACTGGTCCACAGAATCATCATTCCAACAGATCGTTCAGCCCTATCCCTCAATACCAAAAAATTCCTCACAGAAGAATGCTAAATTAACTTTTTGTTAACTTCAGGATATTTGTCAGTAAACTTGTAACTCCTGTATAACAAACCAAACTGATACCAGAAAAAAAGTGGCCAAGTAAACGCAGAGCTTTTATCCTCATGAGAAAATTAACAGCAAGAAACAAATATTACTGCTGCAAAGAATGTTTAAAAATTTAATTATCAAAAACACATTGAGTCTTGAATTCTTAGAAATTCTAAAAAAATTTCTCTTGTAAAAGTAAAGATACTCATACCAGAACAAGTAGTGGTTCTGCAAGTAGAGTCTGATGACTCTGTCACTCAGAGTACAGACACTGAACACAGCTGATTTCTAAGACACAAACACAGCTGATTTCTAAGACTGTGTTCTGATATTACCTCATGGGTCAGTTGCCTCTGAAAGCGTACACACTGTGCTGTTACAAGTGACAATTCAGTCATTCTCCACTGCTCATCAGAGGCCCAATTAGATATCAAAAACAGGCTTTCCCTTTCCGTATTTGCACACCTGTGGTCTACAGCAAGGTACCTGTGTACAAGAACCAATGGCGTAACAGCCTATGAAAATGTGTCTGCACTAAAATATGAAAGCAAAATAGAGCATATATATTAAAAAATAGTTTCCCTTGATTTTAATAAATGGGTGTAACTTTGGTAAAGAAAGGTTAAGCCACAAAATAAAATACCGTCCTCTGCATTTAATTTCTAGGATGACTACCTATTAGTTTTTGTCCTAGGCTATTCTGTAGCCTCTTCAGCTAATAAAAGGTCCCAACTGATTTCCTTAAAAGCTGAGATGCCTTTTCAGTAAGGTCTTCCAAAAAGTCCCTCTTCTGCTTTCCGTTTCCTCCTAACACCATTTGCTGAACTCTGAGATAACAGCAAAGTATACACCTAATTAAAATACACTTTCTGTCATGTCAAATAATACCCAATTCAAGTTGGCCAAGAGAGGTGAAAATGGACTCTTGTAAAATTCTTAATCACAAAACCCACCTAGAATCATTTTGAGATGTTTCTACTTCTTCTGGAGGTCCAAAATCAGCACTTGACAATAATTCCTCAATCTGTAAACACGTGAAAACAACACATATTAAAGGTCCTGTATTAAATTAACTTTGCTTACACCTACACAAGAAACAGACAAGTATTTAACAGCAAATATTTTATTTTCTACATGTTTGGAATATTTAGCAAAACCATTTCAAAATAGCCCTTCCTCCATTTGTATGAAACTGATTATACTTCTTGCCTGGGAAGTTTGTGTCAAATAGCATAAGTGATCCAGGGATTCCTACAAGGCTTTTTTGCCACATGTACATTCTGAACAGTTGGCTAGGGATTGTGTAACATATGTAATTTTTGTTTTATTTGGTCTTACTTCAGTCTTGCAAATCCTTTTTTCATAACACCCTTACACTGAGATTTTTTTCTCACGTCTTCCCCCTTTCTGCAAGCTTGTATTTCTATTATATGTAAATATTGAGTTCCAAACTCCCTTCTAACGTGGCTTCTAACCAGTAAAAGCTACAAATCTAGTATATTCAGTGCTTCGAAACTGTACCTAGTTGTGAAAATTTTATCTCATTTGGAATTTTTATTCCTACTTTTCTTTACATTGCTTCCCTTCTAATTCAGCATATTATTCTAGGAGTTGGATTGGATGCTCCTTCCCTGTCTTCCAATACTAAAAAATCAGGTTCAGCCATGTTATTTCAAGCTCTGTTATTCAAATATGTGGATTACTTGAATCTGATGATCCACGAAGTGTGAAAAGATGATCCACCTTAGTGGTTCCCAGAGCATTCACTGACAGAAGTTATAAAAGGAGGGTTTTTACTTGTCTTAAATGGTTAACTCTTGGTGCCTGTGCACTGAACTTGAAGGTAAGGTAGTTCAGGGGTTTTCTTCTTCAAAAAGAGTAAGTGATCATTTAACAAAGTTTGAGAAACAGTCATTAGTGGAACAGGTTCCACAATAACAGACCTGAAAGGCAGGACCTGCAGGAGTAGATATTTGTAGCTCCATCTAGGTATGTTAATAATAGTAATGACAAAGTGCTTCCATAATCACTCACTACTTGTTGCATAATTTTTTTGTGTTGATTAGAGGGGAGCACAATAATGAATATAAACATCTTTCAGGCGTGTTTAGTTCATTTCTATTCTCGTGCTTTTTGTTGACGCTAATGCAGGTGAAAAACATTTGCACTGTGGGTCAGAATATTGGCATGAAACTCCAAATTTTTCTGACCACAGGAAGTTCAAGCAGTTCACTGCATTTCTAGACAGTCTGAAGTTCTTGTTATCCCTTCCAGCTCTGCTAATACACACCACATGAGCCCATAAGTCACTAACAGTAATTGGCTGTAATAGTAACACATCTAAGAATAAGGCACTTCAGGGCACAGAAATATGAACACGCTGTTTTCAACTCATGTTCTTTCCATTCACATCAACAGCTTGAGGAGACCTTTTTAATGAAATTCCACTCACTGGTGTCATCTCTCTCTTCTAGAAAGCTCACTATTTAACACATCTCACTTCACAGTCTTAATGACAGCAAATTCCCATAAAACATCGTTATTCTAGCAACGCTTCAACTAATTAAAACTATCGACACCTTGACAGACAGATAATTTTACACATGAAAAAAGAAATCATATGAGTGAGCTTACACCTTCCATGCAAAGATCTGCACTTCCCTACAAACATTTAAACAACTCACAGATGGAAAAAGGTTGGGGTGAAAAAATAAAAATAAATATCAGTGATTAGATTCAATGGAATTTTAAAGCCACATAACATTTAAAATGCGGAATACAGCTCCTCAGACCTCATTTCAATAATCATGTATACCAGGCAAGAGATTAACTGCCTAGTCTGCATTATTCCTTAAAATTTTAATTTCATTTTTTAGGATTTCTTTATTAGCCTACAAACTTCTGTGAAAACTTCACTTCAGAAATGTTAATAGTAGCATCCAAAAAAGTTCATAAGGGAATAGCTACAAGGAGTTTTTTACACTGTATGTAAACATCAGTCTTACTCAGGACTCTTTGCTAAAACACGTTGGTACATGAAAAGGAAAGGGTATAGACAAATTCTGTTATTTAATGCAAATTGGTAGAGCAATCAAATTATCAGCTCTCTCTGTATTCCTAAGTATTATGGTATGCTAAGTCACCATGTTTGTATATCATTGTTTGCACACTGAGACACAGATTACAATTACCTCTTTTACAGCTGCAGCTTCTTTGTCTTTTACAAATACTATTGGAGGTACATTTCCTATAATCTGCTGACTCATCAGAAGATACCTGGCAAAAATACAGCATTTACCAGTGTGAGTAACAGTACAGCAACTCGGGACAGATAAAATATGTTAAATTAATTCCAGCAGTACTGCAAGTTTCAGGATATGGTTTGCAAAACTGACAATCTGATGGTTCTTTCAGGTTAGTGCTAAGCAATACCCAAATTCTCCAAATAATCCCAACTCTGACAGTGTAACATCACAGAAAAAAACACTAGCTGCAAATCCCACTGAGTACTGACGATATTAGATTTGTCTCCTATATGCACAAGCTGGTGCAGGTCTTTCCCTACTTCATTCAGGTTCCTTATTCCCACTGTAGGGGTGAGAGTAGCTGAGGATAGAGCTCTCACAGCAGGGCAAGACAAGCAGACCTACATGCTAGCTGCAGGAAGGACTGACATGGCTCCCCTTGTCTTCTTTGCAGCCAGGAACACTCCTCCTCAGAGAGTGGAAGCTGCTGGATAGCAGAGGGTAAGGCAAGGAAAGAAAGAGAGACAAAAATCTCTGCGATATCCTAAAAACTCATTGGACCCTCTGCCAAAAATGGGTTAAAGCATCACAGTACACGGTAGCATCCCCACATTTATGTTTTAGTATCAGTATTGTGAAGAACTTCTGTAATATCAGTCATCCCTTCTGGTGGTCCAAATTGTCCCTAGTGATCAGAATTGCCCAGTGAATCTGCTAAGGAGATCTTGTAATTGCCAGTCCTCTTGTGCAGCATCCTACTCTGGCCTACTGCCTTGCACAGCACATCCAGCCCACCATCATTAGTACAACAAAGTGAGACTGCATCCAGACTCCTCTTTCTTTCTGCTCAGCCCAGTCCCATCCTAGGAAAGCACAGAAGCCAAATGAGCCAGCTGTGCTTCAGCAGGAAAACACACAGCTGGGCTAACACAGCCACCCTTCCCTGTGAGGCTCATCACAGGAGATGCTCTGACTCCAAGTATCTAAAAACCTAAATCAGACACAGATTGTTAGAAATAACTTAAGAAAGAGTACAAGTACGTGGCTATGAATTTATGAAGTGGTCTAACTCTTTACCCCACAGCAGTACCGTATACGAGGAGCACTCTTCCGCAGCACACTTTCAACATAACTTTCTTTCTCCATAGTAGCAGCAGGATTCCAGTACACACGACACGCTGAAAAGTTTGATGCCAGGGACACCTGCAAAAGGACAAATGTTTCTTTAAAATTTTATATGTATATATATATACACACACTTCATATACAACAAAGTCTCTAATTCATGAGTAAGCATACAGTGACACAAACTGGATATGGAAACTCTTTGGAGAATCTCTTCTCCCATCTCTGCTCTTAAGAACCGTAAATTACATGGTTTCTTTATAGAGTTTAACGCCAAATAAGATTTACATTCAGTACCTGAAAAGACTTTTAATTTAGGCAAGTCACTGCCTAATCTCCCTTCCAACTGAAATTAAAAGGAGGAGAAGTCTGTCAACACAGACAGCACTATGTTTAATCAATGTAATGGTGCTACCATCACAAATAGTCCACAATGACAGAGTGGTCGGACACTGGAATAGGCTGCCCAGGGAGGTGGTTGAGTCACCATCCTTGGATGTGTTTAAGAGTTGTTTAGATGTGGTGTTGGGGGATATGGTGTAGGGGAGAACTTTGTAGAGTAGGGTTGATGGTTGGACTCGATGATCCCAAGGGTCTTTTCCAACCTAAATGATTCTATGATTCTATGACAATTTATGGCATGCTGTTTTGGAATAAAGTTGAAAGTGTAAGTTTCTGCTAAAGAAGGACCTGTGACACCGCCTGGTTTGTTGTCACCCAGAGTTTGGTTTTGAGATTGAGAGAAGAGAGGACACCTTCCACTGCACTGTAACGTAAAGTCTCTCCATCTCTAAAGCCTGCAGGGACCCTCCAGCTCACCAACAGGCAATATTCACAGCTGTCATGCATACAATTGAAATCATACAGTGTGCAGGGACCATAACACACACGAGACAGGCCGACAGTCTTCCTGAAGAATAAACCTCTGAAACACAAACTGGATTCTGAAAGATTTCTGTAACTTGTCATTCATGGCATCCAGCAGCATCTTACAAGTTCTCACTGTGAGAGTACACTCAGCAAACTGCTGACAACCTATCATGCTCAACCAAAGGAAGGAGCCGAGGAAGAGGGAGGAGAAAGCATGAACTACCCATTGGAAGGCACAGTTCAGAGACCAATTCTTGCAGAAACCAATTCTTAAACGAACAGGTGTCTACATATGTCAGCAGAAAAAGACAACTCCATCAGAGTATTCCCATCACAGTCTGCTGTTGACAGTGCTACTCTTTCCTAGAGCAGAACAGACTGACCCCAAAAACCAAAGTAGATACTGATTTTTTTCCACCACCAAATAACTCCTCCTTCAGGAAATCCACTGCTCGTTAAAAAAAAAAAAATATGATCATTCACCAGCTGCTTCTACTGCAGGATCAGCTCTCCCCAGTTCCCACACTGAGTCTAATGTAAGGACATAAACAACGCTATCTAACACAAGCCATTTCTTCATCATCACATGAGTAATGTTATTGAGTGGAGAGAAGTTTCATGTATCAGGCCTGAAGCATGATTCTTATCTGCATTACTATTATACGATTTTAACTCTTGATACCAAAAAAACCCCAAATTCTGACGGATTGCAAAAAGCCTACTAGATTTCTTTTGATAACCGAAGTAATGATATCAGACCAGAATCAGCTCAAGAATAAACCAGGACTGAGTCTCAGCCACAACCCAGTGCAGACCAAGCACTAGGCACTACACAGTTATCATAAAATCTGCACTATATTTGGAAGAAGGCTCTTTCTTTCCATCTCTCATGTTTAAAGTTGTTTCACTTAGAGCAATGCCTCCTGACAGTGCCATGGCTTGCCTGCATCAGCCAGTATTTTTATGTGCAGACATGCCACCCAAGTTAGACAAGCAATCCTCAAAGCCCTCAAGAGAGAGAGAAGGTCTATATGAAGGGTACTGCACATATAGAGCCAAAAGATTCATCTTACCCATGTCATTTCAGTCACTTGCCTGAAGACAGAATGAATTCTGGTATTATTTAATCCTAACAAAACAGCAAACGTAGAAGACAAAACTACAGATAACGAACTAGAATATGGAGACTGACTTAGTTCCTGAATCAGAGCTTCATTATCCCTTTCAAACCCACAAATTATGAGAACACTAGCTACAATTACATACTGTTCCAATTCCAATTCTTTCTGGAACCTTGCCTGCCAATGCCATTTTCTTAGGCTTGCCTTTTTCTGAACTAAGATCATGCCCCACTTAGGTCTTCTGCCTGTGTAAGGATGCTGTTGAGGGACACAAGGAGGTATCAGCTCTTTCACAACTGCAAAAAGAAAAGACTCCTTGAAAGATACACTTATGTCAGTAAGACCAGGCTCCTCCTTCTGAAAGCACAAGGCAAACAGTACCTGCCTGAGTAACAAAAAAGACAGTCATACCAGGAGAATCACCACTGAGTTGGCCTAAGTCGCATTTGCATTATAGTGGCAGAGGTCTGCTAAGCCAGGGACAGCAGTGGCAAAGTTCTCCTAGTGTACCAGGTGAATCCAGAGCCTCATCTTGCTGTGCTCTGCCACATCAGAAGCAATGCAGTAAAATTCCTCCTGCACCCATCCATCACAACACCCAGGGGAGCTCCTTTAGCGTGCCGTGCCGACCTC